TGGGGAGGGGGCGGGGGGGGGGGGGCAATGTCTTCAGAACCCCTGCTGGAAATTACCCCGACTGCTTGGCTGTGCCTCTGGCTGCTATTTCAGCCGCAGTCTTAATTCGCTCCAGCATGTGTATCGGAAATTTACTGCTTCATTTCGCCTTGTCATAAAGGAGAACTCGGCAACTGGCTTTTCTCATCCTGCGTCCACTTCTCACTCCCTGGCTTCTCTTTGCTCTCACGCTAATGCTGAGTGATTGACATTAGATGTATGCCTTTGACAGTAACTGCTCTCTCCACGGTCCCAAAGGGAACCACCGAATGTTGTACCTACAAACCACGTGCGAAAAATGAACTCGTTCATTCAGAGTCCTTTACCTTCACAATGTTTGCCGTCTCCTTTATAGCCCGACTTGCAGATGCACTTGTAGGATTTCAGTGTGTTCTGGCAGATGGCGTCGATGCTGCAGTTGTCAAGCGCCTCTGCACACTCGTCCACATCTAGGAAGAAAGAAAGAAAGCGCTTGGTGAGTCGATCTTGCCACAGAAAAGAAAATCCATGGAACCCTCAAATGATTTTCACGAGTAAAACGTAAAGCAAAGAGCGCAACTGAAATGGACAAAGCATCAATATACATTTATTGATGGAACTCGAAACTGCTTTCAAAAGCTTCTTTAACGCAGAAAGCAGGTCAGCGTTACTTTTCTTTGAACAACTGTCAGGTAATTTAACATCTTCGCCTTCTTAACGTGTGGATAGAAAAAGTCGACACACCCGTGTTCAAATGCCAACTATTTGTGACATGAAAAATGTAAACATCAGATCATGATTAATCATTTTATAACTTTCTCCACCGTTAATGTGACATATAACCTGTATAACTCAACAGATTGTTTTTTTGTATCTTTTCAAGAGGGATGTAAAAATGAGCAACTGAGTGTGCGCACTGTAATAACCGGGATGCGGCTGTGCTCACAATTAACCATTCACATTCAAACTCACATTAAATGGAAGTCAGAACACACCTGGCACCCCCAATTAACCTAAAATACATTTAAGATGCTCAAGTTAGCCTTACTGACTATTTTTGTTTTTATCCATTAATTAATTCCCTCCACCCATTCTAAGGCCCCACATCCATCTGAATTCAAAAAGCCCCAAAACATCATGCTGGCATGAGTATATGCTCCACTGTAGGAATGGTGGTCTTTGGATGATGAGCGAGTTCACCCTTGGTTTCACTGGCCCATAACACACAGATATTTAGAAGATTTTGTTATGGTACAATGAAACCAAAGTTGAGCTATTTGGCCCTAATTCCCCCCACAATATGTTTGGTGCAAGCAAAACAATGCTCATCACCAAAAGAACAGTACATGTACAGTGAAAATATGGTGATGGCAGCGTTATGTTTCCGGGCTGTTTTGGACGTGGGGCCATAGACGAGGTGGAGGGAGTTATGAACAGTTCGTCCATTCTGGCAGAAAAAACTCCAGGCTTCAGTTTGAAAGCAAAAAATAAATAAATAGAGGCACTTGAAATTGTGGCCGGAGTATGCTGACTCTCATTAAGCAAGAGTTGGAATGCCATTGGTTAAATCTCAACAGAGCCATATCCTCGTTATGAGAAGGTGTGCAAACTTGGGCGAGCATATCATTTCAGTTGTTTAGTTTTACTTCCTCTCTTGAAAATACTTTTTTCTTTTAATGTATCTTGAGCTGTGCAGGTTACACAATGGGTTACATTCATGGGGGAAAAAAATTGAAATGATTGATCTTGGTTTGATTTTCTTATATCGGAAGAAAACGACATTTTGTGTCGTCTTTTTACATCCGCTGTATCAGATTAACAATCTTCATAACCAGCACTATAAACCACATAGCTCAAATACAATCTTCATCGAGACTTTGTTTGGTGCCACATTAAGCAGCCTCACTGAAAATTAAGAGTCTGTTGGATTGGCATTTAAAAATGGACATGAGTTGCGCGCATTAAAATAAATGTCTCATCAACATGGCTATGATTCTATTTTTTGCAATATTCATCATGGTCAAACATGATTTGACTGTATGCAATCAATGTCCATACTTGTTTTCAATGTAAACCCAACAGACTTTGTGATTGGTCATTCATGTCAGATTAACTTTTCACTGGTCATTGGTAAAGCTCATCATGTAACAGGTTAATAGAAACACGAAAATTGAATGTATTTTATTTTTTTAAGGGCAAACCGTTGAATGAAAATAATGAAGATCATTTCACCAAAGTACATATTTACACAATACTGAAAATGTACAATGGAAAGGATGTTCTAACTCTATTTTAATTTGTGACGATAACAACGACAAGAACGACAACCAAAAATATAAATCGTCAAGGCTGGATGATGTCAACTGCTGCTAATCTCAAAAGCTAATGTAGTGCAAATGATGTCATTGAGATGTGGTCCTTAAAATTCATGAGTTGACACAGCATTCACAGTTCAATGAGCCAGCAATTAACGTGTACGTGTGTGGGCATTTAGCATGCATGGTCAAATCCATTCACTGAAGGTGTTTTATGTTCCGATTTTTTTAAGACTGGACCAAAGACCACAATCAACTACAGCCCATGAGCAAATTAAAAACACACACACACACACACACACACACACACACACACACACACACACACACACACACACACACACATAAACTTGCAAACAGCAGTTGGATTGTAAAAACCCAGACAAACCAATTAGACACCTGCATCACTAATCTAAAGGGAAACTAAACGCAGACATGTTTAAAGCAAGACTACATCGTACATGCCAGCACTAGTAAAAACACAATACTGTGATTAATTTTGCATTCATGGAACTAAATGGGATATTTCACTCAATGATAAGGCAGCGACGTGTTCGGCAAAATACTTTTCAGCCGCAGATTGGAAGTGACGTTGAAGCACAAGGAGACTCTTCTACGCTGACGTCACGCGTGCAAAGGCGTCCACGTTCGAGGGCGCGCTGCCAAGGGCGCACAGTGACAACAGCGGAAAAATAGTTGCTAAATAAATCCCTTTTATGTTCACAAGCCACAACAACGGGGGACACCTGTGCAGTTTACGGTTACTAGAGTCACTCGAGAAAAGAAATTATTCCTTCCGCTACGTCAGTGAGTGTAAAAAAAAAAAAAAACTAAGGAGTTGAGTGTAAGAAGACGAGCGCAACGTCTGGTAAATCTTCAACATGACCACTTCAAACCATCAAAACAAAACATATATCACTTTACATGAGGTACTTTTTTCTTTTCATGTTCAGTGGTTCATAAAATATACCTTTGATTTCAAAATGACGCTTACCTATTTGCATACACATTCAAGTTTTATTCCACATTGCCATTCAACGTTAATCTGTTTATTGCGTAGGAATACATATATTGGACACAAACAATTTAATGAATGACTTTTTACACTATTAGTGATTCATGAACTGTGTCAACCAAAAGCAACATGCAGTACCTCTGCTCCCACAAGACAATGATCGCTGAATTGAAGGCAGCAAACGTCCTTCACCGTCCAGACACGAAATAATTGTAAGACGCTAGGCGAGGAATCGATGTTTTCCCGTCGTCTTTCCCTCCAACCAACTCCACTTTTGCACGTATCAACTTCACACAACTGCTTGCAATGTATCGATGTAATGAAGAGGTGTCCTAATAGGGACCTTTTTCACAAAACAAGACATAAGTAGACCGATGACCGATAACGTAAAAAGTGGCTCAGACTTCTCTTCGTGTTTTCTTTTTGCTTGTGGGCGCTCGAATATAGTTCCAGAAATTAAGCATTGCGGGTAAAATGGCGTCAAGGGCAAGGGTCAATAATACGGGATATTGAATGGTAGGCTGAGACGGTGTTGAGAGTGATGGTTTTAGTCATTTAATCCTGTGTACACCACGGCTGGGATGGAAAACATGCAGCAGGCCGGCTAACAGACAAAGTGTCGTGAAGAAATCCAGACCCAAATGAAGCAGGCAGGAATTGCTGAGCAGATATCACGTCTTAATTCACACTCAAAGAGCTAAAAATGGCGGTCCCCATAAGCAAGTAAATGTAATGACATGTTTGTTTGTTTGCTAAGAAGGCTGTATACTAAGTAAACAGCGGCTGACACATTTGAAGGATAACACAGTTCTGACATCTTTAGGGCCTTTAACTGAAATGTTCCGTTTAAATTGTAAATTTCTACAGTCTGAGTAATTCGGGTGAGAATGTGAAAAGATAAGCATGAAAACAAATTCAATCAGATGCGCGGTCAGGTCTGCCTTTACGGAACCCCTAATCCAGCCAAATCCTAGCGAACTAGCCCAGGTGTTTAGGATTACCCCTCGGCACACAGGGGAAGGGCAGTTTACATAGGTTCCAATATCCACTCTTATCACAAGCCCTCTGCAGGAGCCGGCTGATCCCACTGGGAAATGACCTGCAACATAAACCCTCACGCTTAGCACATTGCCTTTTCCTGGACGACACAAGGTCTGCTGTGGAGACGAGCCCTTTGCAGCAATGCAGAATGCTCGCACGATCATAATCATAAACTGGAGCAGATCCGCGATGCATTTGGTTGCGACTGTAATGGGAGGAACAACATCAGCAAATTATGTTCTATGAAAGTTTACTCAACTTGGTTTTACTTCAGCAAGAACATCCAGCTCCGAGGTCAAAATATAAAAGGGAGACCACTGTCAAAAGACTGATGACAGTAGAGATGAATCACCTGATTATTTCGCAGATGAAACGATTGACTGTTAGGCCAGAATGACAGTGTAACAATATACAGCGTTTAAGTTGGTGACGCGTTCCCGCCCTCAATATTTTCTTGTCTAAAAAGGATTTTAAAGCGCTGTGCAAAATGGAATCCCGTATGCAGTCGGGGTGGTCGTGGCTCCCCTCCTGCCAAGTTTCCTTCGGGCATTTGAGCAATGCAGAAGCTCCCCCGGATGCACTATTGATTTATATTATGTGAAAACAATAAGACATCTCCTGTGGTGTAGCCTTGGTCTTTAGTCATCTGCCTTCCCAGAAAAAAAAAAAGAAACCACATGAGGAAGTCTTGTTTTTAATGTGGAATGTATTCATTACTGTAATTGTCATGTTTGTCGGCGCCAGTGAAGACTTTTTATGCTCCGACTCTCGCAAGGTCAAACAGAGGCAGCTCCGTAACAGTAATCGAGGTTAAAATCCATTCTTGGCCTTTTTGTTGCATATTATACGTCTCGATTTTCGAACACTATCAAATGACCACCAAGGATTTAGGAGGGGAATAATCAGCTCAGAAAGATCTTTTTCAATCCAATTTCTTTGCTGTCCATATTTTTCATCAGGTATCACTGCCTGTGTTCATTATGACAGAAACGCACAAGTACTGTATCTTCTTGTTTCCGGCGGAGCAATTGCATTTAGAATATCTTTCCACGTTTGCTGCGATGCGCCCCTTTGGCTTGTACTGAAACATTCGAAGAAG